GTGAAGGGTGGAAGAGAGCCAGAGGCGGTCAAACAATGACTTGGCAGCGAAGTATGAAAGCCATTACCAGCAAATTCAGCTGCGCTGGTCACTGCCGTCTTCCTGAATGGGGACCCCGAGACGGGCCACATCAATGGCTAGGGACATTGTCAGATATGGCCCAGTCGCGCCCTCAATGGCGCTCGTCCATCCAAGCTATTGCCATCAATGCATAGCTAGCAATGCATAGCAAGTGGGCAGGCAGTTAAGTCACAGTACTTGCGTTCCGTATTCCCGTTTCTTGCAGACAACATACATCAGTGTACAGGGAATCCATCTTGCAAGCAAGAGTCGCCTGTTGTCCTGCTTGCTTGTGAACATCAAAGACGGCTAAGTAGACAAACTTTCGGGGTTTGAAAACAGATTTAGAGGTGTTTAGGGTTGTAGCTGAACTCGGACGTGCAGAAGCTGCAGCTGAGTGTGATGCAGGGCAAGAAAACCGGTCAGTCCTAGAACTGTGACCTGCGTAGAAAGCAGTCAAGTTTGGACGGGGGGTGAAAGACGGAAAATGTGAAGGTGTAAGAAGGGAGGCGTCGGCAGTAGCATGTTTTCGCTTACCCGCCCTGCTGTATGCAGCAAGTAAGACGACCCGGCTGATGACACAATGCGACGGCCGATATGGCATGTGTATTGTTAGTTGTAAGGATTCATTCAGCCGCAGCACCTTTCGGTACCTAGCTGCCATGCCATTAGAAGGAAGCACGACGAATAGAATACGGCCAGGTTGACCAAACCTAGACGGGGAAGCAGAGAAGCAGGGGCCGGGTTCGAACCACGGACCTCCCGGTCGGCAAATTCGCGCTCTAACCACTGAACTATCTCGCCCCGCTGTAGGCATTCTGGTTGCACGTGGGCTGGGACACTACCAGGGCGTCCAGACCTAAACAGGAGGACGATTAGGGTACTCGAACGAAGCCTTTGGCTCAAGAGCCTAATCGCAAGGCAATGGTGTTTGGCGAAAAATGCAAGTGAGATCGATCAGCCGTAGCACCCTTTCGGTGCCTAGCTGCCATGCCA